GATCTCCATATGTGGACTCTATCAGAATTACTACTATTGTGACTCACTGTTGCCCATCTGCTCCAGCTAGAGTATGGGTACCAACTGGAGCAAGTCTGCTGGCTAAATCAGTAGGAAGTGGAGGTGGAAACACACAACTCTGCTCTCCTCCTCACTCCTGCTATTCTGATGGACCAGACTCTAGGGGGATCTTCTGCCTCCTGAGCCCCCCATTAAGTGAGCCCTGGACAGGCAGTGCTCTGGTGACTGTCCTGTGACCCTGGACCAAGGACTCTGAAGGGCCACTTCCTATGTTCAGTGTTCTGTGCAAATCTGTCTCTTACACCTGTCAAATCACCTGACTCTGCCTTTTCCCATTCATAGGTCTTCATACATGCCTTTGTGAACCTACCGTCTTTCTCTTTACTGGCCTTTGAAGTTTATCCAGCACATTTGTTAAGCTTGAGCTTCCTTTTCTGTGCCCAAGTCATCCGCCATACGGGGGCATCATCTCCATCAGGAGTTCTTCACTGACACACCTAGGCCTGGGGACTACGTGCCTTCCTTGGAATCCCATAGCACCTTCGATCCTAGCACTTGGCATGGTGTATGGGAACCATTGTGTGTAGGCCTGTGCTCTCTGTCAGACCATAACTTCCCCGAGGGCATCAAAGTAAAGGAGTGCCCACAGGCCTGAACCTAGCAGGCACTCTGTAAATACTGGTTCAACTGAGTGTTATATGCCCCTTGACTGCTCCCAGCCAATGCCCAGTCTGTGCTCTGGGCTTCCTGTCTTGCTTCCCTCCTGAGCCTGTGTTGGCTGTAGCCCCTCTTGATTTGGTCTTGAGGTTAACACCCACACTTGACTGCCTTCCTGTTCTCCCAAGGCCCTTGCGTCTTGTTATTGCTTCTGCTCTACTGTGGACCACTTGACTCTTTTGGGCCATCCACATCTGCCTCTAGGCCCCATCTCTGCCCCTCCTGGGAGCTGCTGACACAGGTCTTAAGTATTCACCCCTCCAACCTGGAGGGAAACACCTTTCCCTGTCTGTGTTTCACTCGTTTTGCAGGGTGACCTACAACATGCAGACCAGTTGAGGACACCAGCTCCAGCCTGCAGGTTAGGTATCACTGAGTTTAATTTCTTTCGTTTCTAGATTAAAGAGCTCAAGAATTCTTTTTATTTATAATTAACTTAATTTTTGAATGATTTATATACCCATATGTTACAAGTATTTTAGAGGCGTAACCAAGTTTGTGGTGAAGTCTCCCTCTCATACCTGGCACCTATCTACATAGTTTCCACATCCCCAAAGTAGGTAAGACATCTTTTGATTTATTTCTGTCCCATGCAAAGATTTTTATGCATATACAGGCAAATATCACTACAGGTTCAGAAATGAAAATATTAAAAATTTCAACCTCCCAGAGGATCAGGGTGAGTACCTCCTGAGGGGTCTGTTCCCCCACTCTGGAAACCACTGCCCTAGGGTCACATCATCCTTGGATATGGGGAAGTGGGATGTTGCTTGATGCCAGTGATTTGGGAAAATTTGGTGGCTCTGCTAGACTCTAACCTGTGAATAGAGGAGAGGGAGGATGGGGAGAAGCAGTGGCTTCTCCATGAGGTGTTCAAATAGTTCTGAGAATCCTTTATAATGAACTGTAATCCTTTAATTCTCATCCCCATCTCAGAATAGCTTATAAAATATTTTTGAACGCTCATATAAACACTTTAAATGAATTAACTTGTTTAACACTCACAAAACCATTGTGAGGGAGGTACTATTATTATTTTCCATTTTGCACATAAGGCACAGTGAGGTACTGCAAGACTATGCAATTTGTAAGTGGCAGGTCCAGGATAGGAATTGGAGCAGTCAGGTCCAGAGCTGTGCTTTTAGCAGATCTGCCACACTGCCTCTCTGCTGTGCACTCCAGCAATACTGTGGACTTACCTTTGCTCAGCCCCATCTACACTATATTTTTCTGAATTTAGCCTGAATTCACCTGCTGAGTATTGACATGTCAGGGAAAGAGGAATGGATGAATCTATTCCTGTGAAACTTCTCTTCTTGATACTGAGCAGAATCCTGGGACTCTCAGGCCATGGTGAGGGCCATGGTAAACTCCCCATGCTTTGGGTTGGGACCTTGAAGAACTATTCTCTGGGAGTAAGGGTGACCTGGAAATAAGCCAGCTTTCACAGGAATTACAGTTCAGCTTAGGGTCATCTGGGTAACCCAGAAAATTTCAGTTCTTCAAAATGGATTTATTGAGGTGATCCTAGATTGCTAATGCTTCGAGGTGATTGAGAAAAGAAAAAAAAAAAAAAAAAACTAAATTCTTCTCTAGAGGAGGATAACATTCATCCTAAGACTCAAATTATTTATACAAACAATATTCCATATACAATTTATGGCATGCACTTAAAAATAACCAGACACTTTGGGAGATAAGACAGCATGAAAAAGAACCAGCGGAAACAACAAACAATAAAAAAAGACCTACAGGAGCCCCATTTATTGGAATTATTGGGCACAGACTTTAAGTTAATAGTTCTTAATTGATCAAGAAGATAGTAGACAAAGTTGACAATTTTTCAAGAGAATTGAGAACTGTAAAAAAGTACCTTAACAGCTTTGAAAAACAGCCAACTAGAAATTGTAGAACTTAAAAATCCAATAACTAAAATTAAGAACTCAATGTATTAGATTAACAACATATAAGACCAGTTGAAGAGACAGTGAATTGTAAGGCAAGGTAGAAAAAACTGAAAGACTGGAGTAAGAGAGAGAACAGAAATAAAAACTCAGTCAAGAGGGTAAAAGACATACAATTCAATTAAAGCATCTATCATTTTGTTTTGAGTCATAGAAAGAGTAGAAAACAGGGCAGAACAACATCTGAAAAGATAACAGCTAAGAATTTTCCAAATGGATAAAAAGATATTAGTACACACACTTAAGAATCCCAGCGAACAACAAGAAGAATAAAAACAAAAAATATATACACCTAGACATATCATAGTGAAATAGCTGAAAACCACAAATAAAGAGAAAATCTTAAGAGATTTAATGCTGAGTGTGCACTAGCTTGAGAAATAAAAAATCTTAGAAGGACCCTCACACTTTCATGAGTTTGATCTACGGGAGTCCCACCAGGTTTCACAGTGAAGATCAGAGAAAAATCCCTTCATGCTTCCAGCATAAGGAGGGAAAAAGTAACCACCTTTAAATACAACCGAGGGGAAAGTAAAAATTTTGAAATATGCCCACAATGTTCTGTTCTCTGTCCTCCCTCAAGGGGAACTACTTTACCAGAACCTAACTGACTACTCGACCCCATGCCCCTCTAGCCTTCTTCTCACCTAAGGGCAAGGAGGGAAGCTTTAGAAGCACTTGTGGAATCAAGAACAGAAAAATAGCTGGAAAATTTCATGCATTTGGAGATTAAACAACAAAAACACTTCTAAATAACACATGAGTTAAAGATGAAATCTCAAGAGAAATTAAAAATATTCTGAACTAAATGAAAATGAAATTACAGCTTATCAAAAATTGTGAGAAGCAGCAAAAGAAGTGCTTACAGGGACATTTATAGCATTGGATACATATGTTAGAAAAGAAGAAAGATCTAAAATCAATAATATAAGCATCTACTCTAGGAACTAGAGGACAAAAAATCAATATAATCCTGAAGCAAGCAGAAATAAATAAATAATAAAAATTACAGCAGAAATCAATGAAATTAAAACCAGGAAAACAATAGAGAAAATAAACAAAACCAAAAGCTGGTTGTTTGAAAAGATCAATAAAATTGATAAGCCTTTATTCAGGCTAACCAAGTAAAAAAGAGAGAAGACAGAAATTACTAATACTAGAAATGAAAGATGGGTCATCACTACTGACCCCATGGACATTAAAATGCTAACAAAAGACTATTATGAACAATGCTATGCCCACAAATGCATAATTTAGCATTTGCAAAATCCAACACTCATTCATGATAAAATTTCTCAGCAATCTAGGAATAGAGGAGAACTTCCTCAACTTGATAAAGAACATCTATAAAAAACCTACAACCAATATCATACTTAATTGTGAGAAACTAGATAATTTTCCCCTGATGTGGAGAACAAGGCAAGGATGTTTCCTTGACCACTCTTACTCAACGTTGTACTGGAAGTCCTAGCTAATGAAATAAGACAAGAAAAGGAAATAAAGAGTATATGGATTGAAAAGAAATAAAACTGTCTTTGTTCATGGATGACAAGCGGGTCTATGTAGAAAATCCCAAGGAATTGACCAAAACAAAAGCAAAGCAAACAAACAAAAATACAACACCAGACCTCCTGGAACTAATAAGCAATTATAATAAGATTTCAGGATACAAGGTTAATACACAAAAGTCAATTGCTTTTCTATATACTAGCAATGAACAATTGGACTTAAAAAATTAAACATGTCATTAAATTAAATTAAAAACATCAAAAAAAGTACTCATGTATGATCTATCAAAATATGTACAAGATCTACACAAGGAAATCTACAAAACTCTGATTAAAGAAATCAAAGATAATCTAAATAAATGGAGAAATATTCCATGTTCATGGATAGGAAGACTCAATATTATGAATTTGTCAGTTCTTTTTAATCTATAGATTCAATGCAATCCCCCCCAAAATCCCAGCAAGTTATTTTGTGGATATCAGCAACCTGATCATAAAGTCTGTATGGAGAGGCAAAAGACCCAGAATAGCCAACACAATATTGAAGAAAATCAAAGTTGAAGAACTGACACTATCTGACATCAAGAGTACTGCAGGCTGGCGTAGTGGATTGCGGCTGTTGCCGCGAGCTAGCGACTGTGGGGCTGCTGGTGCCTGGCGTTAGCACCTGGCCAGCGATGTCACCTGGCTTGAGCGCTCTGGGTTAGCGCAGACGAGGCTGTGGGGTCCTGGCGTGCCCTTCCGCGCCCCTCCCGGCCAATTTTGTTTGACTGCTCCAGCTGGGGCTGCTATGGAGCTACTTTGGCTGCTGGTCTGGCTTGCCTTGGAACAGGGAGTGGCTGGAGGAGCCGAGACTGTCAGGAACTCCAGCGAGGGTCTTCTTGAATTTTCCTTGGGGAAATTTAGATACTTCAAGCTTGTCATGAATTGAACTGTGTCCCCCCAAAATACCTGTCAACTTGGCTGAGTCATGATTCCCAGTATTGTAAAATTGTGTACCATTTTCTAATCTGATGTGATTTCCTTATGTTTCGTAAACTCTGTCACTATGATATAATAAGATGGATTAGTGGCAGTTATACCGATGAGGTATATAAGATTGGATACTGTCTTAAGCCAATTTCTTTTGAGATACAAAAGAAAGAAGCGAGCAGAGATGCATGGGAACCTCATACCACCAAGAAAGCAGTGCCGCGAGCAGAGCGTGTCCTTTGGACCTGAGGTTCCTGCGCTGAGATGCTCCCAGATCAAGGGAAGACTGATGCATCACAAGGACCTTCCTCCAGAGATGACAGAGAGACAAAGCATTCTCTTGGAACTGATGCCCTGAATTTGGACTTGTGGCTTACTAGACTGTGAGAAAATAAACTTCTCTTTGTTAAAGCCATCCACTTGTGGTATTTCTGTTAAAGCAGCACTAGATGACTAAGACAAAGCTCAACAAGCCCTTTCCAGAGGAAGCTGTTTTGCATCGTATTTCCAGCAACGCAACTTTTCTTATTTTCCAAAAACACTCACAGTATCAGAATACAACAGTGTCTAAGACTCTCCTTCTCAGTACCTTGGGAACAGGCACTGACAAAGGACTGATTTTCATTCTTAGACCAGAGCAGAGTATGTGCACATGGCACTTGGAGGCTGCAGATGCTGAGCCTATCCTGAGCATGGCTATTCCACTCTCCTACTTAGAAAGAGATCCTGTTCTTGGAGGCTATAATTTGGAGTTTGATCTAGGTATCAATCCCAACACTTACTTGGAGTATAATTTCTTTGAAACAAGCATCAAATTTGCCCCAGCAAACCTAGGCTATGCAAGAGGCACAGACCCTCCACCATGTGACCTTGGGATGGGCCAGGACTCTAGGTGTTGGTTGTGGTATGATGTCTATCAGTATTTTCTGCCTGAGAATGACCTCACTGAGCAGGTGTTGCTGAAACATCTGCAGAGAATGGCCGAGGTGCCTCAGGTGAAGGCCAATGCTATCAAAGTGATTACCCTAACAGCTAATGATAAGACAAGTATTTACTTCTCCTCTCTCCACGTACAAGGTGTAATTTATAATGTCATTGTTTGAGACTCACTTCTAAGTACATCTGCTGCTTATGTTCCTGCTCACATATATGCTTGCAGCTTTAAGGCAATGGAGGGTAATTGCTCTTCTCCTGGAAGAGTATCTACCAAAGTGTTCTTCACTCTCTTTGCCCTGCTTGGTCTCTTCATTTGTTTCTTTGGACATAGATTCTGGAAAACAGAATTATTCTTCGTAGGTTTCATCTTCATGGGATTCTTCTTTCATAGGTTTCATCTTCATGGGATTCTTCTTTTATATACTGATTACAAGACTGACACCTATTAAGTACGATGGAAACATAAAGATTTTTTGTGATGATGCTGTGTTTTGGATGACCTTCTCTTGTATAGCTATTATCAATCCAGAAGTTTTCCTGGGCTGCCTAAGAATACCAAACATACTGACTTGTGGAATCATTGACTCCTATTCGGTGGTTCTGGCCATTGATAGTTACTCGTACACGAGCCTTTCCTACATCCCTTTGAACGTGCTCAATATGGATTTCCATGGAGCTTTCACAAACGTGCCTTTTGAAACTACTGACTTTATTATCCTGGCAGTATGGGGGATGCTGGCAGTAAGTGGAATTACGTTACAGATTCAAAGGGAAAGAAGTCAACCATTTTTCCCTCCCCACACTTACAAGTTACGGAAGTGAGAGAGAGAGAGTGCAGAGTAACAAACATTCTGGACCCTACTTACCACATCCCTCCATTGAGAGAGAGGGCCTATGGCCAATTAGCCCAGATCAAAGAGTTTTTCCAGGAGCAACAGTCAGCTGGAGAGAGAACACCACTACTTCTGTAGATGCCCAAGGGCTTGGTCATTGTGATCTTGAAGTACAACCTGAGCGCTGTCTCAGCCATGGTGTTTATGCCCAGACTGCTTCAGCATTCGCAACTGCAAGTCTGATAAAAGAGCAGGCTTATGTATCTGTGTTTTGCATGATATTAATGTCTCTTTATTGCTACGTGGTAATAAAGAGAGACAGAGAAGGTCAAGAAGCTGGTGATAGGGAAGCTTTTCTTCATTTCAAAATGCTTGAGAAATTACCTTTTGGTAAATTTTGAAATTACCTCTTGGTTTACATGTGTATGATTAACTTATTCCATTAAATAAAAATAAAAAAATAAAATAAACCCGCTGCTGTCGAGTCGATTCTGACTTACAGCGACCCTATAGGACACAGCAGAACTGCCCTATGGGGTTTCCAAGGAGCGGCTGGTGGATTTGAACTGCTGACCATTTGGTTAGCAGTCAAGCTCTTATACATTTAAAAATGCATTAAAAAATAACAATATTATGATTGTCCTGCTGAACCCTGGTATTTCTTTTTATAACTCTGTGAACAATTTTCTCACCTGTCTAAACTTGCAGAGGAAGTGGTTTTATTCAAACATTATACTGAATTGCCACCGTGTTTTGAGCAAACCACTGTGCAGTGGGTATTGGTAATATAATGTTGAAATGCCAAGGATCCACACAACTTACTGTGTCTTTTATGGTTGTGGAGTAGAACCTTTTGTGAGTTAACCACTATTTAAATGATGCTGCTTTTTATGTTTGTTTGTTTTTTTCCCCAAAGTACAATAGATATTTGAAGTTTCAGGTTACTGGAAAATCTTCAACTTTTGCTTTTAAGAATATTTTCAGAAGGATGAAACAATGAAACAAATATAATTTTTGCCTTGAAAAATTATATGCAGATGTTTATTTACTATTTTTCTGTAATCCAACTTCAATAACACTTAAACTTGGAGAAAAATGTTGTTTATAACTCACTGTAGGGACACTTGTTTCTACCATATCTTTGCACATTCTAACAGAGTTATATGGAATGTTTGCAAGTTATTATTAAAATACACTGCCAGCAAAGATGGTAAAGCAGAACACACTTTTTGGAAGGGAAGATACAAATTGTTTAAAATTTTTCATAGTATTAAGTTGTAAGTAATAAAAGGGCAGTTTGTATAATTTTTATAATAAATAACTATTTTGAAGAAAATGTGAAAAAGCCTCATTACTGTAAAATTTTTTTACCAACTATATTTGTACCATAGCAATAAGATGTGTGAGAAGAGTTTTATAGCTATAGAAATAAAATTTAAGCTGGAAAAAAAAAGAGCTACTCTAAAGCTACAGTAATCTAGACAGTGTAGTGTTGGTGAAAGAATAGACAAATAGACCAATTAAACAGAATTGAGAACCTGGAAATAGACCCACACAAAAGTATATTCAACTGATATATTTTTTTTTTTCTGGGAGGGTGGGGGAAGCTTTAACAAATAGAAATTTATTTTCTTGAAGTCTAGGAGGCTAGAAGTCTGAATTCAGGGTGCCAGCTCTAGGGGAAGTCTTTGTCTCTCTGTCAGCTCTGGATGAAGGTCCTTGTCTCTTTAGCTTCTGCTTTCTGGTTCCTGGGAGATCTCCCTGTGTCTTGACATCTATCCTACCCTATCTCTGCTACCTTTGCTTGCTAGTTTAATCTCTTCTACATCTCAAAAGAGATTGATTTAAGACATACCCTACACTAATCCTGTCTCATTAACATAACAAAGACAATCCATTCCCAAATGCGATTATAACCACAGGCATAGTACTCAACTGATTTTTGACAAAGGCACAAAGGCAATTCAATCAAGAAAGGATAGTCCTTTCAAAAAATGGTGCTAGAACAACTGGACATCCACGTGTGATGGTTAACATTGTGTGTCAACTTAACTGGGCCATGATTCTCAGTGTTTTGGCAGTCGTACAGTGTTATGATCACTTCCCTGTTGAGATTTGATATGTGATCACCCCCATGATGGGATCTGCTGTGACTAGCCAATCAGCTGAAAGGGAGTTTCCTTGGGCGTGTGGCCTGCATCCAAATATAACCGGACATTCTGGCTTTTGCCTGCTCTGGATCCTGCAGCTGGCTCCTGTTCGTCTGACCTGAGCTAGCCGCTTACCTGCAGTCTTGCCTGCCAATCTTGGGATTCACTGATCCTCACAGCCTGTGAGCAAGGGCCCTGCTGTCCGACCTGCTGATCTTGGGTTCGCCAGCCCCTGCAGCTAAATGAATCAGGAGAAGCCTCTATCCTGATTCACGGACTTGGGATGTTCCAGCCTCTACAACCTCGTGAGCCATTTCCTTAGTATAAATCTCTCTCTAAATGTATTTATACACTTTACTGGTTTTGCTTCTCTAGAGAACCCAGCCTAAGACAACATGCTAAAAAAAAAGAAAAGACACTGACTTTACACTTTTCACAAAAATTAACTCAATAGGGATCACAGGCCTAAATGTTAAACACAAATATATAAAACTTATAGGAAATAATATAGGAGAATATCTAGGTGATCTTGAGTTTGGCAATCAGTTTCTAGATACAACACCAAAAGCATGATCCATGAAAGAAAAAATTGGTAAGTTGGACTTTACTAAAATTAAAAATTTCTGCTCTGTGAAAAACTGTTAAGGGAATAAAAAGACAAGCCATGGACTGGGAGAAAATATTTGCAAAACACATAGCTGATAAAGCAGTGGTATTCAAACTATACATAGGATTCTTAGAACTCAACGAGAAAACAAACAGCCTAATTAAAAAATGGGCAAATATCTGAACAGATACCTTACCAAAGAAGATATATGGATGACAAATAAGCATATAAAAAGATGCTCAGCATCGTATGTCATGAGGGAATTTCAAACTAAAACAATCAGATAACACTACATACCTATTAGAATATCTAAAATCCAAAAAAAAAAAAAACTGACAATATCAAATGCTAACAAGGATGAGGAGCAACAGGAACTCTCATTTATTGCTGGTGGGAATGCAAAATGATACAGCTTTGGAAGACACTTTGGCAGTTTCTTACAAACTAAACATAGTCCTATCATATGATCCAGCAATCATGCTCCAAGGTATTTACCTAAATTAGTTGAAAGCTTATGCCCACACAAAACCTGCGCACATATGTTTATAGCAACTTTATTTATTTTTTCCAAATACTGGAAGCAGCCAATATGTTTTTCAATAGGTGAATGGACAAATAAACTGTGGTACATCTATACAATGGAATGTTTTTCAGCAATAAAAAGAAATGAGTTATCAAGGCATGAAAAACAAGGAGAAACTTTAAATATATATTGCTTAGTGAAAGAAGCCAGTCTGAAAAGTCTAGATACTATTTAATTCCAACTATACAGCACTCTGGAAAAAGCAAAACTATAGAGACACTGAAAAGATCAGTGGTTGCCAGGTATTCTGGAGGATGAGGGGAAAGATGAATAGGTGGAGTACAGAGGATTTTTAGTGTAGCAAAACTAGTCTGTATGACATAGCAATGGTGGACATACGACATTATGCATTTGTCAAAACCCAAAGAACTGTACAACAAAAAGAATGAATCCTAAGGACAGGGGACCATGGTCTTTAACTAATACTAATGTACCGATATTGGTTCATCAATTGTAACAAATATCCAGTACTAATGCCAGATGTTAATAATAGGGGCAATGATGAGTAGGAGAGAGAAGAGGTACATGGGATCTCTCTGTCCTACCTACTCAATTTTCTTTAAACCTAAAACTGATCTAAAAAATAAAATCTGTTAATTAAAAAAAAATACATGATAAAAATACCACTAAGTTGAGAGGGGTTAAATGGAATTAAAGAAGTCTAAGGTCATTGCATTGTCTGGAAAGAGAATAAAAGCACTAATTAACGCTAGACTTTGATAAGTCAAGAATGCCTGCTGCAATCCCAGGTAAACAATAAAACCAGTAAGAAGTGCTTTAGTTATCTAGTGCTGCTATAACAGAAATACCACAAATGGGTGGCTTTAACAAACAGAAATTTATTTTCTCACAGTTTAGGAATTCAGGGTGCCACCTCTAGCTTTCTCTCTCTGTTGGCTCTGGAAGAAGGTCCTTGTCTCTTCTGAGCTCCTACTCCTGGACAATCTTCATGTGGCTTGGCATCTCTCTTCCCCCATCTCTAGTTTGTAGCTTGTTTGTTTAATCTCTTTTATACGTCAAAAGAGATTGACCCAAGATACACCCTACACTAATCCTGTCTCATTAACATAACAAAGACAACCCACTCCCAAACAAGACTATAACCACAGGCATAGAGGATAGGGTTTACAACACTTATTTTTTGGGGACATGATTCAATCCATGACATTCTACACTTTGGCCCCCCAAATTCACGTCCTTGCCACATGGAAAACACATTCACCCCATCACATCATCCCGAAAGTCTTAAGTCAACTCCAAATCCAAAATTTCATCTTCTGAATCATCTAAATCAAATCTGGGTCAGATATTAGGCATCTTTCATTCTGGGGCAAAATTCCTCTTCTTCTGAGAACTGTGAAATCTAGAGTACAGGTTATCTGCTCCCAAAATACAGTGGTGGGACAGGCACAAGGTATTAGAGGGAAAGAAGAGATAATGGACACCAAGGAAGTCCAAAACCCAGCAGAACAATTTCCATTAGCTCTAAGGGATTGAAAATAATCTTCTGTTCTTTAGGACCTTCTGGGCAAGGGCTCTGTCCTCCAGACTCTGGGTGTTGGCCGTGCTGTCTGGATTCTAGGTGGAGGCCCTCCGGCCCTGGGCTTTAGCTTTGCTTTCCAGGCCTACTGGGATGGCAAGTCTGCTCCTTTGGCTTTGGGCCGCCCAATTCTTCTAGTACATCTGAGTGGTGACCCCACCCCCTCGGCCCTGGCAGTTCCCATTTTTCTGCCCCTAGGGCATGGCAGCCACGCCCCCTCAGCTTTGGGTAGCAACCTCATTCCCCTGGTACTCAAGA